CGTGGCTTCCACCGCAGCGGGAAAGTATGTGTGCCCACGGGTGAGGAGCCCCCCCACGGCAGGCCGTTTGTTCCCCTGAGGCCCTCGTATCCTGCAACTCTTTTGCGTTTCTGTAGCACTGTTTGTGTGCTGCTCTCCCCTGGCTAATCCTTCTGTCGCTCTTGGTGTTTCTTTTTTTAAATCTGATTGTACTTGCTCTTTCCACTGTACTGTTTTCAGATACTAGCTTTTCTCCCGAAACACGTGCTTAAAATTGTTGTTTCCAAGATGGGTGAAGAACTAGATAACGCTCAAAGGTGAAGCTGGTGGGTAGAGAAAGAGATTGAGAATTTGGGGCCTGAATGTCGTTGGCTGCTCGAGGGATGCAACAGAAGAAAACTCAGATGTGGTAAGCAATTTCTGTGTGTGTGTGTGTCCCTCAAAATAAATGTCATTTCTCAAAAGTTAGAAATAAAACTGCTTCTGTATGTATGAAATAAAACTGCTTCTGTATGTATTTCAGCTTGGAGAGGAATCTCTTTGTTTTGTTTTGTTTTGTTTTTTAGTTTAGGAATGAGTTTTAATGGTGTATTAAGTCATGGAGTACCGTGATGTGACAGATCTAAGTCTAGATTGGCTAGTCAAATCACATAGCGCTGCTTCTCTGACAAATAAATACTCTTCAACTTGCGCTATACTTTTACCTCATTAGTATTGTTGTCCTTTGTCTGCTCAAACGAAGTATCAGCATTACAGTGGTGTGAAAAAAAGTAGTCACTATTCTAGTGCTTCTTTAGGTACTCCTGAACTTACACAGGTGGAAAATGACAGGAAAATGTCTCTGAGACACCTTCAAGTTTTGGTTACTACTGTGCTTGCTCTACTCATTTCCACTCCTCGCTAATATAGGCAAGTGTTGCACGGTAATATCCAGGCGGCCTTTATCTAGCTTTTGCTAGTTCTAGTATTGCTATTCCATTAATATACATTACTGCACTACCTAGTGCTAGTGCTACTAGCCAAAAATGAATTATAGACTTGACTGATGTATTTTGCTGGAGTGAATGTAGCTGTTCTTTCAAATGTAGCGTTCCCTATTTTAACACTGTCTTTTTGACATATTATAAACATTTGCTGAAAGACATGGGAGTAAGAAGAAAATGTGCCAAGCCTGCATCATAATTTATAAGTTTAATTTATAAAGCCAGAGATGAGGTGTTGAATTTCTTAAAACAATTTCATCTCTAAAAAGAGACTTGCATCATCCTCGTGGCTTTATCTCTGCCATATTGTGAAATCGTGTCTGCTGACCATTAAGGCTTTGATACCCCTCATGTATACTGTAGTTTACAATAATTGGTTTTTCAAATGGAAAAAACATGTATATTTATGACATGGAAGATGAGTAAGGTTGTTGATGGGAGGGCCGTGAAAGGTTTTGGAAACCATGCTGCAACAGAAAAGCCTGTCTTCCCCCTAGCTCCTCGCTTACAAGAATGCATTTATCAGGGACAGTAAGAAAAGTCTCTAATAAAAAAATTCATATTTCATCTTACATTCAATTTTATGTTCTTCCGACTGTTTCGTCACAAGAAAAAACTGAAGGAAGAAGGAGGAGAAAAAAACTTATTTTTCCTTCTTTCTATCAGTCAAATAGAAGCACTGAAAATACTGGAAACAGTGAAAAAACTAATCCATACAAAACTTTGTTGCATTCAGTAAACTCTTTGTCACATTAACACATATTTTATTAGCATGTATACTGTGGAAAAATAGCTCACGCTCTCTGAGGTCCCATACCTTTACTGAAAGCTAGTTTAGATATCAAAAAGGCACAGAGTTGTAAAAGCTCAGGAAGTCATGCTTGAAACAGAGAGAGCTGACTAAAGCAATGCCGTGCTGAAGAATTTACAGGCTCTGCCTGCACTCCAACCTGGGTCCAGGACAAATCCCTCACTATAATAGCGAAAGGAAAGGATGTTCTTTACTGTTACTGTTAAAATTAAGATGATACTCGGCTATTCTGCTTTCCAGTCTAGTTCATAGTTTCACAAGAAGTTCTTTTTCCATTGAAATGAACAGAAAAGATCCTTAAAATTTAACAAGACAAAACTGTACTTTCCGTGTGCAAATGCTTATTAACGTGGATCTGAATAAGATGAAAATAACGCTTGTCAGTGAAAAACATTGAGGAATGAACAAAAGCTAAGTCTGCCCCATTAGTTGATGTTATATGCCAGCTCTTTGCTGAAACAATTAGTCCTTTTTGATGTATTTCTGTTCCTGGACTGTCAGACTGCAAATCCTTTTCATTATCTCTGACAGTCAAGAGGCTTCAATTATTCTTGTCTGATGAAATCTTGCAACACAGCTATACTTCTAGTCACATCCAGAGCAGTCTGACAAGATGTACTTTACAAAGATGATTCTTAAATTCACCTTGAAGTTCAAGGAGGCAACCACCGACTTTCTGAGTAAGATGAATAAGCACCCCAAACTTCGCTGTTGTTCATTCTTTAAGTTCCTGTCCAGTTTTGAATGGAACTCATGGTTCTGCTTTTTATCTTCAAAGTCTTGATAAATACAAGGTGTGTTGTACTTCTCTATGAAAATCAATACTAAATGCTTGTCATCTGTCACCTCATAGGGCTAGATCCTTCAGATGCTTCAGGTCAGATTTTTTTAAAGGAATGAACTTTCTAAAAAAGTCACCTGGTACCTGGAATTTTATAAAGAATATCCATGCATCGAGTACCTGAAAGCGTGTCCTCTTCTGACCAGTGTTGTGAAATTCTCTAAATATGTTTTATACATATACTAATGCTTGCAAGAATATCTGCTCTTATAATTACTTGTATTTTACTGAGGAAGTTCACATTAATTCCTTCTCTAAAATTTTAAGATTTGCTTTTCTTCTCTGAGAAAAACATTGGAATTCTGAGGAGGTTCTAACTTAGTTGTACTGTTTGTTAGTCTGACTGAGGATTAGTTAAAAGGTCTTTCAGATGAGTGCTTGCTTTTAGGAAGTATCTTGTTTGACGGCTCATAAAGATTAAAATATTATGTGTTTCAGATTGAGTATACTTGTTGGTTTTGTTTATAGAAAGTGTTTGCTTTTTTCTTGAAAAAAAGAGCAGTAGTTTAGCAGATCAGATAGTTTTACACAGCCTGTAAATAACCACGTAACTGCTACAGAAGTAGGCAATCTAAATAAATCAATATAGATGCCAACATTTGAAAGATAATAGGAATTTTTTTTACTAACGTTAAAAGAATGATTTTTCACAAGGCATTTAAGTATGTATAAATATATTTCCTGCACAGTGGAGATATTTAATATGTGATTAGCTCTCCGAGTCTCTGTGCTTTCAGGAATATATACACATGCCTACATTTGATAGGACTATTCAGGTGCTTAAAATTAAACATATTATCCCCTTTATTTAGTGCCAGTGGTTAGCCAGTATTTGGAAATTTGTGGGTTGTTTTTCAGTAGCATAAGAGTCAAATGGTTTGGATCCAGTCCTGTATACAGAGAATGTACAGAAATCTTATTTCCTTGAGCATAGTAAGGTAGTGAAATGAGTGATAGGACACAGATTGCTTTCTGAGAACTCCAAGCCTTTATACAACCTTTATGCAGCAGCGCTGTGCCCCTAAAGTGGTTCTTTCACTCATTACTAAGCAAAGGTTTTTAAGTGCCCCCCAATGCTGTGCTGTAATAAGTAGCAGCTTAGCTGAGCCATGCAGAACAGGCAATCATTCCCGTAAAAAAGAGGATCCAAGTTAAAAGCTCATAATGAAGCAGATGTCCATGCAAAGATTCCCTGATAGCTTTAGCTTAACGAAAGCTGATCCCTTTCCTTGCTTTCCAATACTGCCCTTCAGTCTTGATGCTGAATCCTGTTCCGTCCTGATCCTAACCACCTTGTCTGTGTTGCATTCCTGTTTGCTTTTTGTCCATATCCTTTTTTTCCCTCTTTTCTGCTACTGAGGTGCCCCATTTATCTACGCTTTGTGTTGAAGACGTTGGCATGTCCCGTTATACTGGTGCAAGTGACACCTCAGGTTTCCTAACTCTGTTCTGATTTATGACTCTGCCTTTTCTGACCTAGGTCTCTTTCCTGAGGTTATCCTGACTGTGGGACCCAGCTATTGTCTTCACCTCTAGTCTGGTTCAGCTCTAGCAGCAAGTTCTGTCACTCTGTGCCCTGTTTACATAATCCCAGTGTTTTCTTGCTTTCGCCTTAATTTCCTGATGTCCTTGTTTACTCCTGCCATACCACATATAGTTCCACCAAAGGAGTGCATTTGCATTCACACTTCATAATAAAAATCTCAGATTACAGGACTGAATACCTATTTCAGCCTTGTTATGCTGATCCATAATTTGGAAGGTAGTTTCTATTCTTTCAGCTCTTACTAAGCTAGCAGGCATTTAAGTACTCCTTCACTTACCCTGAATAGAAAATGGATTTTATCCAAACAAAGATAGATCATAACTATATCAAGAACTGCCCACAGATCATAAATATATCTAGCTTACAAAATTCCAGTATTCATCAGTCTTTGTAAAAGTGTTTAGTAATAAAATAAAATAAAATATCCTCTCTTTGCACTTGGTATGTCTTATTTGTTCCTTCAGACTCAGTGTTAGAAGATAAGGAATTTTATAAGCAAATTTCTTCAGTTCCTAATTGAACTACTCATTTGCAAACAAAATAAATCTAAGTTGAGAAGAGGAGCTCTCTAGGGAGCAATCTGACATTAAATCTGACTAGCTGATGCTTATTTGGGTGGACAATCGCATCCGTTTTTGTCATACGCTTATTACAATTAACTGCCTTAGCAGATAATAGCTGATTCTGAATGAAAGGGTGGGCCTGAAATTACCCAGATCTTTCTTGCTATAACTGATTCATCAGATAGGATTTTTTTCAGCTTTCTGCCTATCATTCATCTTTTATTATCCCACGCTCTATAGTGATGACAGAGTTGTGATGGGGAACAGGAAGAGGTTGCTGCTAGGATCCTCTGTCAACAAGCTTTGTGCAGGCAGCTTGGGCATGAAGGATGATTCACTGATGACCGAGTACAACCAACAGTGTTGGTGGGGCGGGGGGGAGTGATTTAATGGCGTTATTATTCCTTGCTGTGACTTTTTACCTGTTGTTCTGAGATGTTAGTCCCGGCTAGCTTTCCTTCCTGAGATCCCATAGTTTGTTTAGAAAGAGGGCAATATGAACTACAGTGCTCATGGAAAGAGAGCTTTTCCTGCCCAGTTCTTAGCCTTGGGAAGGGTTATCATTGACTTACTTGGTCTTGGCTTTTCCCACTGGGGTGCATGACCATGTGCTGTAGATGTTTGCTGTTGCTTTTGATGACTTAAACATGGATTCCGTTGACATG